GACAGAAAATCTTCAGTTTAAATCCATTTTATTAATTTAGCAGATTCATGCAAAACCATGTCCAATTTGGAGTCAGACAGTTCTGGGATACTGGGGAGTAAGATCCATGTTCATGGGCTCACTGGAAATGGCGCACTGCAATCCAGGGGATTTCAACCAGTGACCTTCCGATCACAGACACCTAACCCATGGAGCCACACACCGCCTTGTTTCCTAAACATGCACTAAATATTTAGTATAAACAATAAATATGACTGGACTAATGCAATATCGACCATTTATAACTTTCCATATGAAGGGTGTATGTGTGTTTATGCTGAAATGGCAGCTGGATGTGGTCTGAAATTACGTTTGTGGGGTTGTATGGTATTAAATATTATATTATCCCCTCTATGCAAAACAATTAAGAAACCAAACTAAATAAAATAATTTCAGTGTGTAAAAGCCCTTGAAGCAATTATTCATGATTCTGCTAGTCAGTTAGAAAACTCCATAAAGATACAGTTCAATGCATAAAACTGGTTTTAATTTATTATGTATTAATTTATTATGTATTCTTCCTGCAGCATATGAAAATTTATGACGTGTGACTGAAAAAAAAAACAATTATGACATAACTTTTGGTAGGTATTTGTTTTGATCAATTGACTTTTTCTTCTAATATAAAATAATTAAATATTGCACTGTAACCCTGCATTTGAGAAGTGGTTATGAAAAATGGATAGATTAAATCATTTTATTCGTCATAAATGGTAAATGGACTGCATTTATATAGCACTTTTTTACTACTCTTACGAGTACCAAAGCGCTTTACAGTTATGCCTCACATTCACCCATCCATCCACACACTGGTGGCAGAGACTACCATGCAAGGCGCCAACCAGCTCACCGGGAGCAATTTGGGGTTCAATGTCTTGCTCAAGGACACTTTGATGGGATCAGGAGGACCCAGGGCTTGAACCTGCAACCCTCCGCTTGCCGAACGGTAGCACTACCTCCTGCACCACCATCGCCCAATCTTTGTTTCTTTATTTATCATTCTGAAACATTTATACACTATATAACCATAAAAGATACAGAAAACTCCCTAATTATATACATGTCTTCATTATATTCACCTGAAAGACTATTTTATGTGTACATGTGTAATATCGATTATGTTATGCAGAGACTTGGAAAAAAAGAAAGGAGAAAAAAAAGATTTCAAGCTTGCTGATGGCCGTACACAGTATTTAGAAGTGTAATGTTGCGAAAACACTGTAAAAAGTGAAAGACTATTTATACAAAAGTACCTTTAATGAGCATGAATATGGATGTCAGTGAGAGAAGGTAATTTGCATGAAAACTATTCTCATACATACTGTAAAACCAAAAACTAAACTAAAATTGTAAATCCTAAAATGACATTATTATCTTCAATTATACCTGGATTTTCCATAACTGCTGTGTTGTACCGGCTTGCAAAGTATATGTACATTAAATGGTTAATATGAATATTTCAGCCAAAATTTGAGACTGATGAACTAATGTGACAATGTGCATGAAAATGCGACAAAATGTGTGCTTCTGGATGATAAAAGGACGGCAATGACAGTGAGGGCTGAGCACTTCCATGCTGGCTGAGTTCCTGCGGCTTTCAGATAGTTTTCCTACTTCAAAATCAACAGACATCATAACAACCAAATCCTGACATTTTCTACAGTCGTTCCAGTGAACTTTAACATGACTTGTTGCCCTAGCCGCTCACAATATCAGCCGTTCTGATCTCATTTTGGTACGATATTGTAAAAATGACAAAAATACAACAATTAGTGGCAGAATTTTGCACTTGGAACGGTTTGTTTTGTTTCCTTTGAGTGAAGGAAATTGAGTTAAAATGAGGTAATTTTCATGTTTTAATGCTGAACTCTTGGACTGCTCATGCATTCCTGAATGATAATGCGGTTCTGCTCAATGCTTGGGCCTGTTTGTTTGTCTTTATTCTCACTGAGAAAAGATGTTTTTGGGACCCTCTGATGGCTTTGCTGTTCCTTCTCCCTAGTTCCTCTAATCCAACTGACCTATTCTACTTCTTTCCAATAAAAGAAGCAATATAGACATGACGTCTTGGTTGAATTTTAAAGATTAGGGCAGGCGTTGCGATTATTTTGTTTTGAGGCTGATGTAATGAGAGTGACGCTGATGCTCTCATCCTTAGATTAATGTGGTTTATTGACCTGAGAATTGTGATACAGCATATCAGCCTCACGTAAATGGTTTTTATCAAAAGCTATGATTCCCCTGTACTTATACTTATACTATAAACCTTTGTGAGCTACTGAAGGAACTACTAAGGAACTACTAAGGAACTATTGAAAGAACAGCTAAAAGAACATGTTATATTCTGAGGAAATCCATGATTAAAATCAGTATATAAATTTATTTGACCCATTTGTTAGAATCTCTGAAAACATTCCAAGAAATCGAAAAACCCAACAAATCTGTTGCATACATTTGTACACATTGTTAATATCTACAATATACTATAATAAAACATATTCAATCAAAAAATATAACTGACATACAGTAACAATTTTATGCAATTCATACCATGCTTCGTTTTACAAAATTTATATTGCCTTCACTAATGGACGCTGTGCTCTTAAGCAGATCCTGGCTCTCTGTCAGGTCACTAGCATGACTCAGATGGGACACCATGGCAAAAGCGGTTGGTTGTTTTCTGTGTTGTTGTAGGTTTTGTTTGTACATGTCACTTTAAACATTAATGTAACTACTCATTAGCAGTAAAACACCTATGCAAATGAGTACTGATTAAATAAGAGTTCATTCCACCATAGGTTTAGTTTCAGCATTGGGGAGGACCCCAAGCCCCTGCCCCCTTTATTTATTTTATTTTATTTATCCTTTATTTTACCAGGGAGGTTCCATTGAACAGAGATGATTAATATGAACACAGACTAAAACACATAAAAATACTCAAACTATACATAGGATAAAATTAATTTATACGAAACAATGACACTGTTCTTTAAGCTCAGAGTTTAAGAGATTTTTAAACACATTCAGAGAAGGCAAGGAGTTTAAATTCAATATATTTTGTAATGTGTTCTTATAGTGCGTAAGAACAAAAGGCGGGTTTCCTCAGTTCTGTGCGTGTGGTGGGAGGCTGAAGGAGAAGTTTAACTGATGAGCGAGTTCTGTATGTACAGTATTAGTGCGCAATGTCAGCAAGCTACATATATACTGTATGTATTAGTGCGCAATGTCAGCAAGCTACATATATACTGTACAGTATGTAGTGCGCAATGTCAGCAAGCTACATATATACTGTAT